TACTTTCAGTTTATTTTGACTTATTATTGAAAAGTTTCAAAATCAAGATACTTTTTTAATTAACTTTGAGTAAGATGAACACTATTTCTGACGCTTTTTGTTTATTGAAAAATTGGTAGTTTTACTGGAAATAGTTTCCATTTTTCACTGGTCAAAAACTCTTTCGAACGTGTTGTTTATTAAATTAATGCAATTATCTCTAGGCTTTTGTCTAATACTGTACATCATCAGCGGTTCGCCACTGTACATCACGCACCGGTTTCAGTTAATTGGAATTGTTAGGAACTGTTACTAAAAAATTTTGAAATGAATTCAAAAGAAATTTTACATTCTATTGAAGAAAATGCAGTTAAAAACTCAAAAGTCTTTTAATAGGAACGCTTTTTTTGAAGCTGAAATTTATGGACTGTAAGCAGGCGTCCCGATTTTGTCCCGAATTTATGGACTGTGAAGCTCTCTAAAAACATTTTTGGACTTTCCAGCAAAAGCTCTGACCTTTTTCTACAAGCAACTTTCTGTCAAAAATTTAGAAAAGTTTTTTTCGCCAGTCACTTTCTAAGAAGAAAAATTTTTAGTCCCTCCCATCTCTGAGAACAATCGGAAACTCTGACTGTACCTAACTGATTATGAAACTCATAAAGGGACTGCTTCTTTGATTCATATAACTTGCTAACGATCTCTTGCCCCAATTAGAGATGTGTAAAAGGTCCAAAAATTAGTGAAAATTCACAAGCCTTCATAGAGATCGTCCGTGACTTATATGCCTCACAGGAGCAGTCCCTTTATGAGTTACATAATCTATTACATACAGTCCATCAATTTCAGCTTCAAAAAGTGTTTCCATTAAAAGACTTTTGAGTTTTTAACTGCATTTTCTTCAATAGAATTTAAAATTTCTTTTGAATTCATTTCGAAACGTTTTTGCAACAGTTCCAGTTCTCACGGTTCTAGTTCTTACAGTTAAAAGCTGGAACTGGTGCGTACATACTTAATAAAGCATAATGGTAGCCCGAAAATTTCTGATTAAAATGAGATATCTCCCACCGTTACACGACCTTTTCTTGCAAAGTTATACAATTTACAAGAAAAGCCCTAAATGTTCATTATCAGCTCAAAGAAATCAGAAGAAATTAATTTAGGGCTGTTCTTGTGAATTCTATAATTTTGCAAAGAAAGGTCATGTAGAGCTGGAAGATATCTTATTTTAATCTGAAATTTGCGGGCTACAATTATGCCTCATGAAAAAGAGGTTTTGGTTATTTTCTAGAGTTTCTGAAAAACTAGTTTTCCAGAAAAACGGGTCTCTGAAGGCCTACGAGCAGCTAGCATTGTAATATTCGGAATCATCGTTGTCGAATACCTATAACTCACTACGATTGATGGAAAAAGCGCAAAATTTGACAGCTGAGGGAGTTACCTCGTCAGTAGATTTACGCCTGTCATCAAATTGGTCTTAAGAATCGGATTCGACCGTATGAAAAACTCTGAAACTAGATTGTGCCTACTTCAGGTAAAGATTGTTCCGCTGTCTATGATGCTAACTTTAAATATTTTTTGTCCTAATATTTTGTCGTTATTCATATTCAATATTCTGTATGTCATTAAAACTCTGCAACGTTTTTTTTTAAATGTCTCATCTGACATATTCTCCAATTTTGAAATATGAATTCAAAAGTTATATTTAAGAACATAATAAAATTTCATCGTAAGAAACGTAATTTTTATGATGTCTTGGCTACCAAAAATCGTTCAGCAGTTTGTAACAAACGAACAACGGCAGAGATTCAAAGCGATGAACGTTCTAAAACAAATAATTGAGTACGATCAGACATTTTAACAGAATTAAGAAATGAATAATGTTGTTGTGTATAGTATTCGCAGAACTGTGTCCACAAAGTGTTCCACAACAACCAAATACATTTGATTTCGTACATTCACTGGGAAAGTAGGCCAGACAAGCTCGAACACACGCCTGCGATGAACAATCTGTTACATACGAAAAACCAACAGGATTTCCAGCTGGACAATTGCACGTACACGAATAGGCACAACTCGTACCACAACAGCCGTAAGTGGGAGTGTATGAATTGCAAGTCACCTCATTATTTTCACATAGATCGACACATGCTGATGCTGAGCAATAAGTTGTACCCGTTGAATAAACGGTCCCTGATGGCGTTGTACCTTTGGGACATTGGCACGCTTGACAATCACCAGCAGCACAAAACACAGATAGTGGTAATAAAATTGCCACAAGTATTTTGAAGAATTTCGCCATTGATTGAACTAAAACAAGTCCACAATAGAACTACCACAAATATTTATCCTTGATTAATTTAATTATTCAATTTGAAGAGATTTTATCGGTCGACTATTGAAGATATATGAAATTATATTGGTAAACGTACGAGTAGTTAAAACGTTTGTAACTAGTTAAGTTGAAAGGAAAACAATAATAATAATAATAAGTACACTTTTGAAACATTTTAAACATTAACATGTTGAGTAAAAACTTTATATTTTATCAAATATATGTATATAATAGTCATCAAACACCTACTGAGTACATACATGAAGATAATTTACATTCCGCTGTGTCATTCGAAAGGCAAAATAATAAAGATTATTGTCTTTTCATCTAAGACATTTACAATAAAAACAATATCGTATGTAATAAATTTCTGCTTATTTTAATTTTTAATTTTTTCTAAACTGGGCAATATTTCAGACGCCTATTTAGCTTGAAAGATTTACAAAAATTTTTATTTTAACAGATAATTTACACACTATTATTTTAAAAACATTTTTACAATTTTCCATTTTACCTATTATATTGAACAGTAATATTTCTCTACAAGAATATACGTTGTACAACTGAAGCAAATTTTCCACCCTAGAAAGGTTAAGTCTATCAATTTTTAACATGAACAAAGTCCTCTTTTGCAATGTAAAATCAGAGAATTATCATTGAATGAAGTCACATTTTATCATTCAGATTATGTCACCGGTTGATAGTAACAAAAAATATTGTGTTTGTTCATGAACCAATTGTACGGTATTACGTTTGTTCGTGACATCTGATGTGAAAGAACTCTACTATTTATGAGAAACTAATCAAATGGAGTACAACTATTTGCTTAAGAGTACCCCTCTTTTTTGAAAAAATTTCGAATTTTGAGCTGAGTATAGTTTAATGTAGAGCAAAGTGTGGGCTACAAAACGAGACCACTCCCAGCACTCCACGATCTTTCTTCAAAAAGTTAGGCATTTTTGAAGTTTTTTCTTTAAAGCCTAAACATAACTCAATTTTTTAGTTTCATAAACTTGTCTCTGCTTTTCTGTACATTCAAAATTTTTCTTACACATACTCTGATAGAAGAAAGTGTTTTCTTCACAATGTTTTACGGAATTTTTCGATGAGTTTTCATGAAGATATAAGCATCGCGGTAAATGTCGAGCAAAAAGTGGCCTGTGTACAAAATGTGTTTTTTCTCGAAAACTATTTATTTGCTACCGCGCTTCATTAGATCATACTATAATCCCTCTTCAATTTTATCCGATCGAATTCAAAATTTTACCAGAGGTACTCAAGGTCATAGCGCAGAGGTATAATTTTGGAATTTTATTTTAAACCTTTCTTTATCGAGTTTTAGGGTTTCTAAAATTAAAAAACCTGCTTTTAGAGACACTTTTCAGTAGTTTTCCTCTAACTCGACCAGGAAAAGGGTTAAAAAAATGTCGAAAAATATATCTCTGCGATATGACCTTGAGTATCTCTGGTCAAATTTTTAACTCGATCGAATAAATTTTAAGAGGAGTGGTAATGTGGTCTAATGAAAAATCGAGTTTTCTAGAAAACTGGTGAATGGTAATCGTTAAAAACTTGAAATAGAAACGAAAAAGTACTTCATTGAATTTCTAATCAGTTCTGAAAATATGAAGCCTTAGTGAATTTTAGTTTTTATTTCACAGCATTTCTACGGAAAGCCCGACAAGCGGGGAGCGGTACGCTTAATATAATTAATATTGTTAATCTAGTCTGATACATTTTATAAACTCATTCAGAAATTTATGTTTATCTTTGTGATCAAATAGGTCTCGATGAAAAGTCTGTCTGATAATCAAGTGTTTCATTTTCTCTATCAAATTTCTCGTAGATTGTTTTTATCCGACACTCACAACCACCAAATTCTCTCTTGACTTCAATTGTAAATAATACAAATTTCATATAATCTTATTTATTTATTTTATTTGATATTATTTTATTAACATGAGCGTTATTTTTACTCTTACACTCTCCATCTTTCCCCACATTTAGAGATTAAAATTTTGATCAAATTATAAGTTAGAAAAAATATGTTAAAAAAAAAGAAAAATTAAACCCAACAAGAACAAATAGAAACGATTATGTAATGGATAGTGATAACATGAGAAATAACAGAAGAAGACGTTAGAAATGAACAATTATTACCATCAAAAATTTAAAAGAAAAAGAAAAATCACAATTAATATGGAGAAAATGTACTATGTTAGTTACATTAGAAAAGAAGCTCGTTAGATATAAAAAAAAATTGAAATATAAATCTGTACTCAAAAATAAAGTCCATATGCTACCGATTCAGTAATCTTAGAAATAATAATTTTCATTGTTCTAAATTAACGATCAACATTTACCAGTCAGTGTACTAAAATGGAGAGGATGTTAGATGAAAAGTTCTAATTAAGAGCAAAAGTTACATTATACTAAGAAAAGAAAATTTAATTTAAAAATAGATAAATTTTAAAAACTAGTATGAAATTAATTTTCTAAAAATGATCATACAAAGTTTAATGTAAAATTTGTGTTTTTTCTAAACGAAACTTAATCCTACCTGGGGAAAAGACAGAAGAGAAAACGCTATTATTCGATTATCTCCAGTAGAAATAATGGACATAGACACTATCACCGTGAATATATATATATATATTCAACACAAAATATTAGTGATATTGTTCTAAGATTAATTATCTAAAACGTCTTCTAATTTTTTTGGTTTTTCCCATGAAAATTCGTCACGACCAAAATGGCCATAGCATGCCGTATTGGAATAAATTGGCTTTTTTAAATCCAATTCCCTAAAGACAAAAAAATAAATAAATAAAAATATATTCATTTGATTCAAGCGAACATTCCTTCGATCGGATCGAGAGAAACGTTTAATCTATGTTAAGGGTAACCCCCTCCCCCTCTTTTTTGAAAAAATTTCGGATTTTGGGCTGAGTATAGCCTAATGTAGAGCAAAGTGTGGGCTACAAAACGAGACCACCTTGAATGAAGTCACATTTTATCATTCAGATTATGTCACCGGTTGATAGTAACAAAAAATATTGTGTTTGTTCATGAACCAATTGTACGGTATTACGTTTGTTCGTGACATCTGATGTAAAAGAACTCTACTATTTATGAGAAACTAATCAAATGGAGTACAACTATTTGCTTAAGAGTACCCCTCTTTTTTTGAAAAAATTTCGGATTTTGAGCTGAGTATAGTTTAATGTAGAGCAAAGTGTGGGCTACAAAACGAGACCACTCCCAGCACTCCACGATCTTTCTTCAAAAAGTTAGGCATTTTTGAAGTTTTTCCTTCAAAGCCTAAACAAAACTCAATTTTTTAGTTTCATAAACTTGTCTCTCCTTTTCTGTACATTCAAAATTTTTCTTACACATACTCTGATAGAAGAAAGTGTTTTCTTCACAATGAGATGTTTTACAGCATTTTTCGATAAGTTTTCATGAAGATATAAGCATCGCGGTAAATGTCGAGCAACAAGTGGCCTGTGTACAAAATGTGTTTTTTCTCGAAAACTATTTATTTGCTACCGCGCTTCGTTGGCTCATACTACGATCCCTCTTCAATTTTATCCGATCGAATTCAAAATTTTACCAGAGGTACTCAAGGTCATAGCGCAGAGGTATAATTTTGGAACTTTATTTTAAACCTTTCTTTACCGAGTTTTAGGGTTTCTAAAATTAAAAAACCTGCTTTTAGAGACACTTTTCAGTAGTTTTCCTCTAACTCGACCAGGAAAAGGGTTAAAAAAATGTCGAAAAATATATCTCTGCGATATGACCTTGAGTATCTCTGGTCAAATTTTTAACTCGATCGAATGAATTTTAAGGGGAGTCTTAATGTGGTCCAATGAAAAACCGAGTTTTCTGGAAAACTGGTGAATGGCAATCGTTAAAAACTTGAAATAAAAACGAAAAGTACTTCATTGAATTTCTAATCAGTTCTGAAAATATGAAGCCTTAGTGAATTTTAGTTTTTATTTCACAGCATTTCTACGGAGAGCTCAAAATGAGGGGAGGGACACCCTTAAGTTAATGCGTAAACGTAATTCTTTAGGATCATACTTGATAATCATTCCTGGTCGTAAATCAAAGTTTCTTTTCACAATTTGTAATAATTTTGCTTCTGAATATTTTGATGTGCCATAAGAAAATACTGTAATTGATAAAGGCTCTGCTATACCAATGGCATATGATACCTACAAAAAGGAACATAGTCACATATTTATGTTATACAAGATTAATCGAACAAATCACTCACTTGCACAAGGCATCGACGACACAGTTTTGCTTTCACCAAAGATTTGGCAACCCATCTTGCTGCATACGCTCCTGAACGATCTACTTTTGATGGATCTTTACCCGAGAATGCTCCACCACCGTGGGCACCCCTAAAAATTAAAAAGAAGAAAAAATAAAAATTAATTTTATAGAACACTGGAAAAAAATCAATGAACTACGCACCATCCACCGTATGAATCAACAATTATTTTACGTCCAGTTAAACCAGCATCACCCTAAAATGAAGAAATATGGAAAATAACAGACTACTAATTCTAAATCTTATTTACTTGTGGTCCACCAATAACAAATTTTCCCGATGGATTTAAATGATAAACGGTTTTTTCATCCAGATATTTTTCTGGTACTACAGTTTTGATCACTTTTTCCATTAAATCCTTTCTCAATTTTTCCATGGTGATATGTTCTTCATGTTGTGTCGATATAACAATTGTGTGAACACGTTGAGGAACACACGCACCATGATCAAATTTATATTCAACTGTCACCTGTAACATAAACAAAAAATAGAATAGTTTTTAATTAAAAAGCGAACAATTGAAGATATTCAATCACGCATTTGTATGGTTTTTGTTTTAGGTCTATCACATCTATATTTACATGTTTTACTTCAATAAATTCGGTATCTGATATACTTTTACAACCAATTAAAAAAACAAAAAAGTCGCTATTACCAAAATTGAAAAACAATGTTCTGTTGAGACGTGGTACGTTGTAAAAATCTCGTTTAAATCCAACATAGTTTACACTGTTTATTTTGCTCCAAACAGAGCAGAGAGAGAGAGAGAGAGAGAAAAGTAGTATTGATACAGAAAAGTGATAATACTCACAATTCAAACTTTTTAAAAATCAGATATAATTAAAATATGAACATTTCGTTTCCTCGTCTCACAACATTCAAATCGACGGTATTCTAATATTCGCTTTATTCTTCTTGTCTCACGTGATTAGTTAACAGAGCGTCGTATGGATTGGACTGGACTGAAAACTTTTTGAGCTCATGCACTCGAACAGAATCGGACTTCAAACTTTCAAGATCATGAATTGATCTGGACTCGAAAAAAAGCTCTGAATTCACTTGTATCAAGGAATAAAAAATCCATAAAAAACATGTTGTTTTTGTATTGTGGATTGAAGTGGATCACATTTTTTAGAATCCATTGACTGAAAAAACTGCTTTTTAAGGACTTGGACTGGACTAACCTAGATGCTTTTAGTTCATGAACTGGACTCAGAATTTTGAGTCGAGGCTTCATGATACCACTTAAACATGAAATGCTGTCTAGAATAACGATGATTCAAACAACGATGATCAAAAGACTTTTTTTTGTATACTTTCAAGTATGTTCTTTTTCCTCATGTTGGATAGAATAGTCATTTTTCTTCAAACTAAAATAATCCGAGCTGGATATTTCACACTGACCACACTAGAGGTGATTTATCAAAAATCCCAAACTAGTGAATGAAAACAGTGGAATTTTTTCGAAAAACCAAGGAAAAAAGTTTCCTTGTAGCTGAAAGATAGGGCTTTTCATAGTCTACAAAAATGGCTGATTAACTTTTTACTTCTCGTAAGTGACCGGTGAATAAAAATGTTTTTCGATTTAGGAAATGTGATTTCTAGAAGCTTTTTTCTGTAATCTCCATCGTTACATTTTTTACACAAACTTTTCACAGATTCGTGTAGAAAAAATGCTGAATCGTTTCGAACAAAAACATTCAACTCCAGCAAGTTGTTATAAACTTTATTTGAAAGCAAGTTTTACTTTCCAGCAGGTTGAAGGGAGTCGAGAAACGACGCATTTCTCCTACGCCATCCGTTATACGGATAGTCATATAGCACAGCATAGAAGGTCGGTTCAATCAACCATGACTATCCTAATAATCAATATGTGTCACTCACAAAAAGTTTTTTTCTTCTTAAACTTTAACTCACATTTTTCCAGTCTAATGGCGCTGAAATCGGGTTACCTCATTGCATCTGTGTCCAAAGTTATCGAGACAATGAGCATTAGATAGCTTGTCCAAGACTATCACGCGATCGCCGTTGCCGGGATTCGAACTCCGTATGTTTGAAGTACATTGTCTGCCCACTAACCGACTGAGTCACACTACTCAACAGTGTTTTATCTAAGTGTCATTTCCAGGAAGAACAAATGAATGTTTATCAAGGGTTGCTCTCTGAAGCTTTTCTCTATTTTGATAATTTCTGATGGTCCATTCAACTCGTTCGCTAGATAAATTATTGACTACAAAATATGATAACTTCTCAAACTTCGATGTTATTGTATCGTACTGAAGACGATGTTAGCAATCTCATTTTGTGATGAGCTGTAGAACTGTGTAAAGTTAATTCAGTAATCAGATAAAACAATAGTGTTCTTCAACGTATACATTTTTTCGCAAGTTCACATGAGAAACACTCACTTGTGTCTTTGTATCAGGTCGAAGCCATGGTAGTTGACCATTTCGCCTCAATTCTGACAGTTTTTGATTTAAACGATGTGATAGTATCACGGTAAGCGGCATACACTCATCGGTTTCATCTGTGGCATAGCCAAACATTAATCCTTGATCGCCGGCTCCAATATCTTCATCACGTTTATTTTCATGTACAGCTTGTGCAATATCCGGCGATTGTTGTTCAATAGCCACTAGAACATTCATCGTTTTGTAATCGAATCCTTTGTCTGATGAATCATAGCCAATTTGCCGCACTTTGTCACGAATAATATGTTGATAGTCTAAGATGGCCTTTGTTGTGATTTCACCGCATATCAACAGCATACCCGTTTTTGTGCACGATTCTAAAACAAACGAAGAACGTTTCGAAAAGTTTTAGGCGTAAGAAAAGTTGTTTCTAAACTGACCACACGCGACTTTCGAATTAGGATCAACGGCTAAACAGGCATCTAATACTGCGTCGCTTATTTGATCACATATTTTATCAGGATGGCCTTCACCAACCGATTCTGATGTAAATAAAAATGTATCGTTTGGATTCATTGTTGATTCCATTTTTGGTGTCGAACGTTTGAGCGTGTGAAAAAGGGCCGGTAGATATCACAGTGTGCTTTGGTAGTTCTACGTTGAAGAAAGCATACAAGTGAGAACACCTGTAGAATACATCGTTATATTGACTTTTTTTTCTCTACTTTTACTAAAGAAAGAACAAGAAGGATGGGACTAATACAATACAAAAACTGATGAAAGTAAGACAGAAGAAGCACTATGCGTGACAACATAACAGTTGGTAGCCAGCTGAGACCAATAGAAAAAAATTAAGTACCTCCTATAAACTTTGTTTTTACTGGCACATGTGAAAATTATTACGTGAAGTAATGTTTAAATTTTGAAATTGTGCCGGTAATATAATGTTTATGCAGCATACAATAAGACCATGGTGAAGATCACCAACTTTTGTGTTCAAATGGACAGTAGCACTACCCAAGTGAAATTTATCTTGCAGTATCATCATACAGTACCCAAATCTTCTGATTTTTAATTGTTTTTCTGCATCGATTTTAGCCATATTTTGGACCAATAAAAAGCGGAGAGGAAAAAGAGAATCGTCATACGACACAGTCATGTTACTAAAATGCCACGAAGGGTCCCAGGTCGACGAAAACTGGCATTTAATTCTTCATTAACAGCCTGTTAACTGTATACCAAAAAATAGCCTGTTAATTGTGTAAAAATCGAATGAAAATTGCCATTTAACAGCCATTACAATAACAATTTTTTGACTTTGAAATAACGGTGAAAATAATGCTAGATTATAAGCAATGTCTGAAAAATTGGCATTTTACGGACACCATTAAATGGCATTTTCGTCCATTTATTAGACCGCGTTAACTAATGCCAAATAAATGTGGCCGTTAAATATCCGTTTTTTCTCTATTTCAAAATGGCAAAAAACTGGTCATAAAATGGCATTTAACAGCCAATTTATGGTCACCAAATCATTCACTGTTTTATTCTGCCGTCATGAATAGTATAATTGACTCTGATTTTCCTAAAATGATTTAAAGTGTTTCTCTTCTTTAATTATACGAGTCATAGAAACTTGCCTCGAAGAAGTGGTCTATGGTTCTTGACTCGATGCAGGTGATAGTATCTCAGGTTCAGAAGATATTTTTTTGACATTT